TGTATCCTGCTACCTAGCTGGAAATGTTTTCAAGAGGGGGACGGAAACAATAAAAAGGCGGGACAAACACCTCAAGGCTCCCCTCTCTCTCTGCCCATCAATTCACTGAAACTGAAGGGATAAAGGAAGCAGCTGTTGGACTGAGGGAGGGGTCCTGACTTCAGAAGTTTGGTAGGTAAGACTGCTGAAAGTATGTGGTGAGAAAACTTTGCTTTGAATTTAACATATTTTGCTAAGTTAGGTACCAATAATGTTTTATCTTTATTTTTTCTTGTAACACTTTCTGACTTTTTATGCCTCATTACTTGTACTCACTTAAAATCTCTCATTATAGTTAATAAACTCGTTTAATTGTTTTATCTAATCTAGTATGTTTAAATTCAAGTGTCTTGAAAACTCAATTTGGGATGGCAAGTTGTGTGTATATTATTTCTATTAAAGAAATAACTGACTTAATGTAACTTTTATTGTCCATGATAGGGTTGGGCAGAACAGGACATACATTTCTGGGGGGAAATTTAAGACAGAGGGTGTGTTGGGGGTCACCCTGCAGTATAACCAAAGCTGGTGAGAGCCAGATTATAACCCAAGTGTATCTGGCAGGCTGCAGTTACACACAGACACTCAGGGAGTGGCTTGCATGCTGGAAGGCTGCTTGTGAGAGGCACAAGTGGAGCTCCTTCAGCAAGGCATTGTAAGGCACCCAAGATTACAGGGAAAGGGTGACGCAGCTGCTCATTAGTCTAGATTGTACCTTGGTATGTCACAATGGGATTGTCATATTGTTGATGACATGGTTTGTAAGAGCAATAACATGCTCTACATCCCTCTTCAGTGCAGAGTCAAAGACTTGTCTGTAGGAGAGAGAAAGAGCTTGCAGCACTAGGCCTGGTGGAAGATCTGAGGCCTGAACCATAGTCAGCAAAGTCAGGCCATGCCAGGAACCAAAATCAGGTCATCTATTAAAGCAGATACTTACAAGTTTACTGTGCAATACATGACCTTGACAAAGGTATTGCTAGTGTTGCCAAAACACAGGCATTCCTAAGAAGCAACAGATATTGGGTATGTGTGTGAACACACTCCAAAAGATTAGCCCAGGTACATCCTGACCTAACACAAGATAAGATGGTTTGATTGAAGTGATGAATAGGGATGTTTTGCCCAAGACACCTGGAGCAAGATACAAGAGGAGGTAACAAGCAGATATCATGAAACACATAAGGGGGTACCTAAGTTGTACTCTATAAATGTCAAGGTACTTCCCTGTAACCCTTTGTGTGGTCTAGGGGACAGCAGAGATTCCTGCTGCTGGCTGAGCTGTTCCTTGCCACAGAGAACTCGTGTGTTAGTGTACCTGTAACCACAGAGCCAGGGCACTAGTACTGTGCCATGAGGACAATAAACCTGCCCGAGTGCCTTTGTCACCGACCCGTACCTGTAGTCTTTCTTTACATTGAGGTCTGCTGATTTAGCAAGCTGTGCTATTGTAACCCACAGGCCTAATAGGGAGATATCTCTTTAAGAGATCTATTGGGAAGAGGGTAGGAGTGGGTTGTGTCTGGGTCATTGTTGCTAGGCAGATGCACAATTAACACTCCACAACCAGAAGTTTCTGGAATTGGGTGTGGTAGTTTTGGGAATACTCATTAGGTTCCCTGTTGCTGGGGTCAGACTACATGAGGGCAAGCAGTCATGGCAGCTGCTTTACAAAAGGCCATGTGCCCTGTGTGGGCTGGGAGAAGCTGAGCCCAGGAGCAGGAAGCAGGCTGTTTTCCCTAAGTCTGAAGCATTTTGCAGCAGGTTAGTGATATTGTTAACCCTCCAACACGGAGGTTCTGGCAGATCCGATACCACGGTGATGGGAGCTCTATAAATATATGTAATAATAAAATAATTATAATATTAATAGTGATAATTTGAAGTATCTCAGGACTTCTATACTATGAAGTTTAGCCATATCTGAACATAGTTTTCAGTAACTATGTTAGGTGAACTGTGGCTGAACATAGTTTATCTATATGTATGGAGAAGAACAAACATTCAGCATTGTGTTAGCTAACCATGACTAAACCCTTACTATGAGCTCCATGATGAAAGCACAGTCTTTTAATCTGCAGTTTGTTCCGTTGATTGAATTGAGATGAGTCATGGAGTGACTTACTCCTAACAAGAAGTGTAACAGAATCAGACCCATTGTGATTATAATTGACAGCATCCAGGATTTTCCAACAAGATGATCTGACCTCCCCCAAAATGAAGATGAAATCAAAGGGTAGGACATTTTTGATCAATTCTTCATTGCTAGAATGTAAATCGTGTCTTCATTCTCCTGCTGTCACTGTTTGAGTTTCCCATGTTTATTGTGTAATTAATGCGAAGAAAAAAAACAAAGGCAAAAAAATTTGTTCACTTTCCACTAAGTAAACTAATTGACCTTAAGTATTGCTTTATTCAGGAAATACTGACTTTTCAAAGGACATCAAACAGGAACTGTTTAGCTGTAACTGGTATTGAATAGGTGCAATTGTACTGAATTAGTGCATTATCAGTGAGTGCCTACAATGTTTTTCTATTAGTTGAGATTTGCCGTTATGCAAGTGACTGTTAAATTGGCTTTTACAATGAAATAAAACTTCTCCAGTGAAACCACAGCAGCAGCTCAGCGTCTCACACATGCAGACACCAACCTCAACATGGTAACTTCAAAATGTCAGTGGGACCATAATTGTTAAGCCAAAGCAGTTAAAATTAGACACTCACATGTAGTCCAGGCACTCTTACTAAATAGTGGATCTGGCCCTAAACGTTAAATTTAAAAAATAGATTTGCTACATCATATATTCAGATCATCAGAAATATCATATGTTAAATTTAACCACCTCACTAATCCTCACATTCCATAATTAGTGCACAGCTTTGCCGGGAGTCTTTCCCCATTCCCATAAAAGCTTTAGTAGAGTGCTCAATCTGTTGAACGAAATCAAGATTATGCCCTTGCTTTACACTACCACACAGTACAGTACAGTAACCACAAGATCAAAGTTTAAGTAATCAGAACCCTTGAATATTTGGAGTAGCTGCTCTAATATATCCAGACATTCAGCTAATAGGGGGTAAAAGTGTTACACTGACCTTATTCAAGTACATTTAGGGCTTGATCCCAAGCTCACTGAAGCCCCCTCCCTCCCTTGGGTAGGTTGTGCAAGAGTGTTCAGACTAACACTATACTGGAGACACCTTATGGCATTAAGGTAACTTAATTCAGTAAAGTTTAAATCGTATTGAATTAGGTTTAATATCTTTTGGGTACATTGTATTAAAAATGTTGCTGTGTCCATGCTTTTGTGGAATTGTATGTAACTGCACCAGGAGCAGAGGGATGCTAATATAATTCTGCAGGTCATGAGCCCTTTGTAGCCACGTGGAGAGGTTGCCACATATGAGTTCAAACTGGAGTCTCTACAGACCAACAGTCAATAAATAGCCTGGTTTTAAACAGGCTCAGAGCCTTCTTCCTGATCCAGCAACAAGACAGGATCCCTGATCCACAAAGGCCCAAGCCTTAGGGAAGCATTGGAAGGACTTGGCCTGCTGACTTCTCCCTGATCCTGGGGCTGGCAGGGGCTAACCTGGCCCTGTGCAACGAAGACCAACTTGGGCAAGATCTTCAGCTGGTATGATTTGGTGAAGTTTCATTGACTTCAGTGGCTCTATATCAAGTTACACCAGCTAGGAATCCAGCCCTTCATCTCTAATTGTCATTTCAATTCTTGTTAAAAAATTCTGAACAAACAGGTTGCTGAAGGAGACTGTGAACATTCCAGAGAATAGCTTCGAACACATTTAGACTGGGACTCTAAACGAGCATCCACAAACATGCACAAACAGGAGGGGAGGAGGGACAGCTCTGTTTTCCCAACATTAAGCACAAAGCTCCAAGACTGGTCCTTTGCTATTGGGAGTAACCTGAATATTGTTGTGGTTTTGATAAAGTAATCAATTATCACATAGTCCAGTTGCCTGGGTGGCAAGATAGACTGGAATTTTCCAGGGGACTGGTCTGTGACTCCATAGTAAGGCAGTTATAGTGCTTTAGGAGTTCACACTTGTTACTGGATTTGTGAAATCTAATTATAGAACACACAGCCAGTTTCAGATCTCTGCCCTGGTGCTTGACAGCCTGCCCTAAGGTTGACACTCATGGTTGTGAGCCACTCCAGGCAGGGTTACAGTGCCAAATTTAAGCACTTCATTTGTTTAAGCACATCTCAAGCTGTACAGACTCGTGATGTTAGCTCTGGAGGCCTCCCGTTCAATCCGTGGTCATAACCAAGATTGCAGATGCTATAAAATTGAAGCTGATCTGGGATTCAAACTGCTGTGAGCCTGAGACAAGCTTTCTCTCTTCAGGGAAAATGTGTAACCCACTGTTCAGTGTGAGTGACACATACCCCTGTGTGCCCAACCCACAGAGCATGTGAGTGTGTTACAGCTGCCAGCTGGGGAGTTATTTCTCTAACTCAGCCTTTTAGCTCTAGACACCCACAGCTCAATCCCCAGTCACCAAGATGGTGATTCTCTTCCTCTCCCATTCCTCTTTTGTCTCTGTATGAGCCTCATTGATTGTATTTTGTTTGAATTTACACAGTAAGCTCTTTGGGGCAAATTGTATTTTTCTGTAAAACACCCAGTGCACAAACAACACTCTATATTTTTTACAAAGTATTTATTAATATTTGCACGAATGGCCTCTGAAATCAACTCTTATCACCCAGATGTGAATGACAGTCATTCAGTATGGTGGGAGTGCTCTGGTTGGCTGGAGAAGATTCCAGTTTGGGGTCTCTGCCCTGCTTCTTGACAGTCTGCTGTGTATTTTATCACCTGAAACTGCAGCCCTCAGTCTGAATGGTAACACAGCAAATCGAAGTGATTTCTCTTTGTCTTTGGAGCATCCCAGGAAATGTGTCTCGGATGCTGTGATCCTCAGGCTTCAGCTAAGCAGCTCTCTTCACACAAATACAGCAATATCGTTGTGCACAATTATAGGAGGAGGCTTCTCCTGCATTCAAAAGTGCACAGGACTCTCCAGGCTCTTTCTTCTTTACTTGGAACCTGGGGTGGAAAGCTACATTTAACGCTCAGCCATGCCATTTTTTTAAAATCACAAACAGTGTCATTGCATTTGGCTGCCTAAATATTGGGGTTAACTTGCCTTACCTATTAATTTCACTTCTCAGAATTACTTATCCTGCTAATGTTATTCAATTGTTTAATTATGTTTATTCATTTAGATTTAAACAATCCAAATAGCACCACTCCTTCCTGTGAGAATTTGTAAAAGTAAAACATGCACAATAATTCTATACGTTCAGTAGCAGTGCCAGACTGCAAATTCTGTAAGAAATGCACAAGGATGTAAAACACAAGTGAACAGCTTCTAGATCTGCCAGAGACTTACAGGTCAGTGGAATGAGCTGTGCCATCCTCCCACATCCAGCTTGTAGCAGCTCCCGTACGGAATAGTCCAATCCAGTGAAAACACGCCAGTCTGTTTATGAAATCCTGTTTGGGAACAAGACTAAATCATTTACATCAATCCACTTTGGTAGGTATATGGATACCAGGGATGAGAATGAGGTTGATGTGTCCCAAACAGGACCAGTGTTTCGTAATGCCCATACGTTGGCCAATCACACCCCATTTTTTCCAAAATAGTTAACCATAGATTGTATGAGATTTTTGCCCAATTTGATCTGCACCTGCCCCTCCAGGGAAGCATCACAGCTACTGTCCTGGCTGAGAAGAACTGATAGGATACCCTGGAGAACAAGTCAACACAATTGTCCCATCAGTCAGGGGTATCACTAATGAGAGAGATGGGGAGTTCTCTTCCCAAGCAGCACAGACACTAACCCAACAGCATTTCCAGCCTCTGTTAAAGAGAGACAAAGCTTGGTTTTATTCTCAGATGGGTTTCATTTCATTGAATTCAGTGGAGGAAGTCCTGATTCACGATGGAGTGAGAGGAGACTCAGACCCTAGGAATGGACTCTGTGCTTTCCTCGTGCTATGCAGAGCACTAATCCCTAGGCTAGGACATCACACTCCCTTTAATCAGTCCTGAAGTCAGTGATAAAATTTGGATTCACTCCTTCTCTGGTGCCCAAAATCTGCCCAGTGTCTCTTGGGGACACAGCTCTGAATACAACACAAGCAGTTTAGAGGGTCATTTTACCCTGCCAGTGTTCTTTTTCATTTTATACCCATATCCCACTTCTCCAGCAGATGAATATTGGGCAGGTGTAGTTTGGAAAATACAGGAAAATAAGGCAAAGGGTAAATTCCCTACCAGTTCTTCCTTGTTCTCTATCCTCAGCAGTCTGGAGCTGTGAGACGAGCAGTATTCTCGACTCTTCTGCCAGGAGCTCCTTTCATGTGTAAAATGGTAACACTTCCTTCTATGCTGTATCCAGCCTTCAGGGCAAGAGCTGCATTTATCTCCTTGAAAAAGAGAGCAATATAGACCCATCATATTTCTCTATTGATGGGTGCGACACAGTGTGATACAGAATGTCACCGTGTACTAGCTAGTGTGTATATTTCTCCCTGGGAATGTACTGTTTGTCTTGCCAGCTAGGATGAAGCTGATGTGGGTGCCCCCAAAATAACCTGGCGTATGGGATACTTGGGTCAAGGCTCTTTTCTGAATCAGGCAGAGCAGGGACTTAACCCTGATTCTCCCTCATCCTGCATGAGTCCCCTCAACTCCAGGCTATTGGCTACTCAAGGGTTTCTCTGTGTTTTCACGGAAAACTTTGAAAGGTCTCGGTTTTATCCCAACATGAAATGGGAAAATTTTGAATTCTCAAAAGTGCTCATGGGACAGGAAACCTGTTTCCCATCCAGCTCCATTCAGATCACAATGAACAAGAAAGGTAATGAGAGCAATTGTGCAGGAGGTAGCAACAATGAGATGCCTTTCTAAACAACTTGCTTCTGTTGCAGATGAGTCATCATCATCATGGCCTCATTTTCAAAGTGATGGCAACAATGATGTTGACTAGGATGAAAACCTAATAGCAGCAGCCTAGTTGTCTCTTGCATTTGTCAAAATCCCTCTGTTTATCAGTGTCTTTCCCTTGTACCATTGAGAGATGTAAATTGGGAAGAAGCCACCCAGGTTCCTCTACTTTGAAGCTAGTGAGCCAGGGATAATTTATTATGTCCACTGTTTAGGACACCATATTTTTGCTAAGATTTGTTTGTGGCTTTCCATGTAATTAATATTTAGATGAGGCCCTTGTACATTTTGTGCACAGCGACGGAAGTAACTTTTGTTGTTAATAAAGACAAGGAGAGCTGGATTCTGATAAAGCAACAATATTACCATAAAGGATATAACAGAAGAGTGAGCTCTGATCGATACCTTCCCTATTCACAGCATTTGAGAGTTCTGTGTTATTGGCTTGGAGATCATCTCTTTGCTGAGTACAGTTTTTCAGGGTTTTCTGCAATTGGGTGAAGTTTTTCAGAATAGCCTGTTTCTGGATAAGTTCCTCACTTCTTACTTGATGGGAAGCCTGGAGAACTTAAATCCACATCCCAAGAAATCAGTTAAAACAAAATTCAATACACTTATATAAATCATTTGCATTTTGCATTATAAGGATGCTAACAGCAACCATGACCGTTATCATTATGGCTTACACATTAGGGATTGAACTGGTGACCTTCTGAGCTAAAAGCATGAACTACTACAACTTGAATGAAAGACCTGGTCTACCCTGGAAGGATAGGTCAACATAGCTACAGTAGACACACCCTTAAAGGCATCTCAGCTTCTCACGTGTTTTACTGGTAAAATTCAAATCACAGCTCGGCAGGCTACAGGTTCTGAATACCAGTTGTTTTCACAAAGTAATGCAAACTATGACAGTGTCTCACATATGCATTTACACACATCACTCAAATACTTATTAGAAGATCCCTTCTAAACATTATAATGGTTCAGATAATGTTTTGTTGCCTTCTTGGCAAATACTTACACTTGGCACCCAAAACCCCTGCAGTTACTAGCAAAGCCAGGCAGAGGAGCCCCAGAATCACTGTAATGAGCCATGGTGAAGATGGAGAAGGAGATTCTAACAGAAATAAGAGAGAAAATGAAAATGAAAGCAAAGATGACTAGATCTCTGGGATCAGAACAGAGCTCTCAGCCACACCAGTCTACCAAAGCCAGAACCCACCTCTATGGAGCTAAACCAATCCAATAATAATAGCTATTGAATATGTGCTCAATAAATCTTGTGTGAATTGAGAAGATGTGGAGAAAACAGTGAAGTCCAGATCTGTCACATCCCAATTTCTGCCCAGGCATTGGCACAGTGTGGTCCTAAGCGAGCTCCCATTAACATGCCATTTCCTTCCACAGTAGACAAAATTCTAATTTTATGGTTCATTAAACATGAGGCCATGGACAGCGGCTACACCAGGAGGAGGATGTTTGACTATGAACACTTTGATAAAAGAAAGTAAGGAGCCAGAAGCTCATAGTGCATAATACCTTTGCTCTCTGCACTTGTAGGTCTTTGTTGCCTCTGCTGCTTTGAAGGAGTGTGAAACTTCAGATCAGAGTAGGTTATTTCCTGCTCACTGGTTTCTGGATGGAAAGACAGCTCTATGAAATTGTCATCACAGTAGATGGGAACATAACTTCATAGATGTTAAGGCTAGAAGTCACCATTATGAGCATCAGGTCTGAATTCCTGCGTAATGTAACACAGACCATAGAACCTCACCCTGTAATTCCTGTTTCCAAAACTAATAATTTGTGGTTGAATTGAGCGATATCTTTTAGAAAGAGAGTAAATCTTCATTTAAAGACTCCAAATGGTGGAGAATTATCACATTCCTTGGTAATCTGTTCCATTGGTTAATTGCACACATTGTTCAAAATTTGTGTCAGATTTCCAATTTGACCTTTATCAGAGTCATCCAATTAGGAAGCAGAAACAATAGCATGTGACTTAGGTGACCGATCACATTGATCCAATAGTGAAGTATGAACAGTGAATTCTTGAAGCAGTAGCCACTGCAAATAGTTGACAGCCTACTCCAAGCTTGGAACATAAACTACACACTGGATAATTTCATATAGAAACCCATTTTTAAAAAATTGACGCCTGTTCTCAGATAAGTCATGAACAGAACAAGAGGTGAATTCTCTGAGAGTCAGATTCTTTAATTGTGACTCATGTTGAGTTGTATCTTGTTCTGTGAATATGAATAAGGAAAGGAATCAGAATCTGGCCCTGAATTTTTTTCCCCTGCAGTAATGGCCTAGTAAGACTGAGTAAAATTTAGTAAGGACATCAGGATTTGGCCCAAAGGCTGTAGCCAGTTAGAGTATGTCCATCCCAGACAGAAAGCACATAGTAAGGTGGTGACGTACATTTGTTTCTTATTATTTTCTGCTATCTGACCTTTTGAAGCTACACCCTGAGGAGAGGAGCATTGACTGGGGATTACCTGTTCTCAGAAACTGCAGATCAAAGGCCTGAGCTGTACAAAGTAACAGTTGAACTATCCAGTTGGGTATCTGGCTTCTGATCATAAAAACTGACATAAACTTGGGACCAAGAGTTTGAAAGACTCACCCTACCAGAGCTCTGTGTTGGAGCTGGGGGTGACCTCAGGTAAGCTTTTAGCATGTATATAGGTTCTTTTATTGTTTTAAAATATGTTTTCTCTTTAATGCTTTTTCCCTAAGAATAAATACAGTTTGCTTTGTGAAGGTTGGTTGGTAACTGGAATACACTGTTATAGCCCTTGTAAAAGAGTTAACTGCAGGTGCTGGTCCCCGATCAGACCTGCTGGGAAATCACAATGAGGTGCAGAGGTACTGCAAGCCTAAACCCCCAGAAGGCAAGATGTGGGTCTCTGCCTCAAGAGATGTGAGAGCTGGGAAGCCAAAATCTTCAGTGGGTGCCCTCAAGGAAGAGCTGGAGGGAGGTCAAAGATGTAGTTAAGCCTGGAACCGTGTGAATGCTTATCCTCAGGTCCAAGAGACCTATCTCATGAGTGATGGCTCCAAATCTTTGCTGACTGACAGAAAGATTCCATGATGAGGCTGCAGGCCATGGAAGTTCTGGAAAACCTGAACAGTCAACTCAAGATGGAAAATATTGGCTCACGGAGCAATCCACTGAGGTGCTTTCTCCTATAGACCAACTGGGGACAGCTGACCAGTCACAGGTGAACTAGTCTCTTCCCTCATAAAGGGCCAGTACCACCCTGTGACACAAGAGTTTATTACTTCATAATCAAATAATTGTATTCCAGGGCTTTGTAGGCACAAAGCCAACTCCTTCCCATACCTGGAAGACTATGCATTTCTTGGGGCTCCTTTATATCATACAGACTGACACAAAACTAACAACATAGTTTTACTGACATTTGAGAAAAAACTCTAACACAGATTCTTGATATATAACGTTAGGGTTTGTAGGATAAAGTTCAAGAAGGAGATTTGAGTGGGGCTAAAAGCATAATGTTAGACATAGATTCAGGAGATTATAAATATACAGTACCTATGATCCTGGTGTGCTTTGGTCTTCGTTTTCTCTTCTGCTCTGCGGGAGTATGAAATCTGAGGTCCACATAGGTCACTGACTGCTCACTCATTTCTGGTGGGTTATGGGATAGAAATTCCAGAGATGGGGTTAGTGAACTGAGATGAATATTGGGATTTGTACCTCAGTGAAATGAGCTTTTAGAGTCAGTAAAAGCATCAACATGAACAAGAGCAATGTAACAGGACAGCCTGCTCAGTGGCTCGGTAAGAGCGCTCCTGCGTTGCTCTCGGACACTTAACTCCCACATAACAAAGGCCAGAAGAAACATATTCTACCATTTATGGCTAGGTAGGCCACTCCATCTCATCCCAGTGGGTGATGATTTGGCCTCACATATACACACTTTTGTCACCTCCTGGCTGGTCTAGCAATGCTTTTTAGCAGGGTATGAAGCCATCAGCCTCAGGACCCTCCAACTACTACAGAACGATGCAGCCTGTCTCCTCGGCAACACAGGCTGCCATAAGCACCTCACACCAGTCCTCCACTCACTGTACTGGCTCCCTATAGAATGCCAGGTCAAATTAAAGATCTCAGTTCCTATCTTTATGGTGCTCCATGCCTGGCCCCACAATACCAAAGAGATTGCCTAAAGTGCCAGAATCAGGCCATGTGACCAACAACTCCGCTTCTTTGGCACAATGGAACTTTCTACCACAAGGACAAAACTTGTCTATACAGGAGACGGAGCTTTTTCAGGGCCCATCTGGGATCATGGAGCAAATTTCCACAGGAAATAATAACCACCTCAAATATCACCACCTTTTGCTACAAGTGCAAGGCGCACCTCTCAAACTTTGTCTTGGCTAACATAAACATATAACTCAGAGCACATATAATTTATTTTAAAGGAAAACAACCCCACCTCCCTCCAAACTACACTTTTCACACAATTTCCCCCAGGCGGGGAAAAGAAAAGTACAAACTGTATGTGATAGATGTTAGTCACCTCCCTTAACGCACCTCTGAAAGGTAGTCAGATATATGGTGATGAGGGTTGCATAAGAACATGTGAAGAATAGAGCACTTTATCTCCTTCTGATACTGGTAACTGCCTGTATTTATAAAAAAGAAGGTAAATATTATAGAATGATGCAGGCCCTACCTAATTACGGATGCAATTTAGTTTCCATTAGAAGTTCAATTTTGGGGCTCTACATAAATCACCAAAAAAGCAACTTTGACTTAAAATTGATAGGAGAGAACTTGGTCCAAGGTAAAAAAAATTCTGCAAAATTTGAAGTGATTTGAAACAAGTTGTTTGTCAGATTTCTACCCTAAAAATATCACTTTTCATTACAGTTCAAATATTCTTGTAGACATTTTCTTTTTGCCATGCAATTAAAATAACATAAATAAATACAATTTAATTTACTAGACTCCCCTAGAGATCAAATAACTGCTGGCAATAGCTGCTTATTTAAAAAAAACAGTTGTTAGCCCATTTCTTTGCAAGGGGAGAGCTCACAGTGAAACCTGATTACTGGGGACATTTGGGAAAAGAAATTTTCCACTGAAAGTCACACAAAGGGAAATGCTAAATTCCCTGAAGTTTGCTGATAGAGCCGGCTGAAGATTTTCCATCATAACTTTTTTGTAATGGAAAATTGGGGGTTTGACCGAACATAAATATTTGAGGAAAGGATCTGCTTTCCTTTTTTTTAGGAAGAAAACTCAAAATCCAATCCTCAAAATTTTCATCCATGCACAGAAAATTTTGGGCAAAAACCTGACAAAACACAAAACCACTAGTACACCTCTACCTCAATATAACGCTGTCCTCGGGAGCCAAAAAATCTTACCGTGTTATAGGTGAAACCGCGTTATATTGAACTTGCTTTGATCCACCAGAGTGCGCAGCCCCGCCCCCCCGGAGCACTGCTTTACCGCGTTATATCTGAATTCGTGTTATATCGGGTCATGTTATATCGAGGTAGAGGTGTACAGTTAAACATTTTCAGACAGAAACTAAAAATGTTTTGGTTTTTCGATTACTAGTCAAAACTTTCCATGAAAAAATCCCACTTTCCAAACTGATCTATTTGTGGGGATTTCTCCTTTTTGGCAGAACTCTGTAGAGGAATGTCCCCTCCCCATTCTCCACATAAGCTTCCTGTTCTAGCCCATTCTCCCCTTTCACTCGTCACTTCAGCATTGGCTCTCTGATACCTATAGGAAGGAAGACTTGCTCCTTGTATGTGGGAGGGAATATGAACATGGGAAGGGTACCTGAAGAAAGCAGGAGGAACTGGTGGGGAGAGAAATCAAAACAGCACTCCCCATTCCTGTGGTCCTAGTGAGATCTGAGATCTGTAGCAAAGGAGAACACCCAAGAAACCTTCTGAAAATCACTGGATCCACTTTCAAGCTTCTGCATTTCCTGGGGTTCCTGTGTGTGATGTTCGTTTTATTTGAGGTTAGTTTAATTCTAATGTTCTTGGAAGGCAAAATTCGTACTGTGTCCCTGCAATTTTAACTTCCCCTTAACAAAGTTCTTGTGTGAAATTGAATATACTTTGGTTACCTCCATGTCTTACTCAAAGGATGTTGAAGAGCAAGCAATGAAAACATTTTTTTATTTTTATTGAAAAAGGTAAACTACATGTTTTAAACCCCATATTTTGCTGCACATCTTCATGAAATGTTAGAGAAACTACTTATAGCTTGACTCATGTCAGAAGAAGCCGGGAAGAGATAGTTACAGGGAGATGACAAGTACAGTCATGGTACTATATTATCAGAGGACAGCCTTCTAGCACTCTAGAAGTGCTATGTCTTCTCCTTAAAATACTTTGTGTAAATTTGAGAGCCTCTAAATCCATGAATATATCCACTAATTAAAGGAAATTCAGATAAAATTCAACAAAAGAACTCATTGATGAGGAAAGATTAAGGGCTTGATGTAAGAACTGCAGAAAAACCTTAACTCCCATGGAAGTCAATGGAAGTTGTGTGTGGTTTAACAATCACTAAGGGGCCTATCATCATTGAGAAAAGAAAGGAAGTAAAATCGCTAGAGATGAGATGGATGCTACTTAAACAATATTAAAGTCTCAGAGAATACACGTACCATTAAATGAAAAAAGAACCAGAAAGGCAAGGAATAAGCCAATATGGCTACATGGTAGAATTCAACAGGCAATTCAAGCCAAAGAGAGTTACTTCAACATTTGGAAATCTGACTCTACTGAAGGCAATAAAGAGGATCATAAATTACAGCAGGCAATAAGTAAGAAGAAAATTAGAAGAATCAAAATGCATTTGGAAGAGCAAATAGCTAAAGGTGTAAAAACAAACTAGAGATTCTTTAAGTCTAGCAGAAGCAGGAAGCCTATAAAAGAATCTGTGGGTCTGATGAATAATCAGCAGTTATAGGGAGCGATTAAGAATGAGAAATGATTTCTTTGCATCAGTCTTCACCACAGAGGATGTGAGGGGGAGATTCCTACCCTGACCTGCCATTTTCTGGTAACAGAGATTGAACTGTAGGGGGAAGAGGTGCTGGGGCCACCTAATTATTTATAAATCAGTAAGCCACTAGCCTAGATGGTACATCTCAGAGTTCTGAAGGAGCCCAAGTATGAATTAGCTGAACAGCTGCTAACAACAATATGCCGTCTCATTAAAAACAGAGAATTTGAGGGTAGCAAATGTTGTACCTATATTTGAAAAAGGCTTTAGGGGAGCTCCAGGAAAATATAGATCAGCAAGCCTTATATCTGTACCTGGTAAATTGGTTGTAAAGATATTTAAAACAATAACAAAACACCTGGAAGATCATGATATGATAGGGTCTAACCAGCACAGATTCTGCAAAGGATAATCATGTCTCATGAATCTTTTAGAATTCTTTATGAGAACCAGCTGGCATAATCTCTGTAGACTTTAGAAAGGCCTTTGAGAAGGTCCTGCACAAGAAGCTAAGTCGTCATGGGGTGAGAGGCACAGTGTAGTAATGGATCAAAAACTGGGTGCAAGGCAGAAAGCAGAGTAGAAGTAAATGGTCACTTTTCATCTCAGAAAAAGGTTAACATTGGGGGCCTCCAGGTTTCCTACAAGATCCCATGTTGTATAATGTGGCTTAAGTCAGTTAAAACCTGAAAACTTTAAAACTGGACTGGACTTGTAAGGTAGACTGCAGAGAACAGTTCTTCACTGAAGGGTGATAGATAAGACATCCTAATTCTATGTCTTTCCATCTTCCTTTTCTATATGTCATTAAACAATGCTCATTCAGAATAATTATTTACAGAGATCCTTTGCACTTGGTCCGTAAGAGGCACCAGTTGGAAGGTATGAAACAAAAATCTGCTTCCCCAGTTGTCCATTGCATATAAATTGCATAGAATTGTAGTGTTAGTAACCAGTCTTGTGAATTGCAGATCTCCTTCATTGCCTTCTGACTTCATAAGGATTTCAGAGTAGATTAAGGGTCATTCAGCACCTCCCAGAATCCACTCACTAATATTCGTAGTTCTGTAATCTTTTAGAATTTGATTTAAAGCATATTTAATGGCCATGCTAGAGTTCAGTGAATCATAGACTCATAGACACTTGAGGTGTAAAAGACACCACAATCTAGCTGTAATTCATTTAAAGTAATATTTTCAAAAGTGTCTTTGTCATTGAAAGTCAATGAGAGTTAGGCTCCTAGATTGCTAAGTCACAATGAATATTTAACTTAGACTCCAGAAGTCACTTATGACCAGATTTTCAAAAGGTATGTAGGCACCTAAACAAGTAGATAGGCACCTAATAGGATTTTGAAAAGCAACCAGGCACATAATTCTCTTGGCAGTTAGGTGCCTAGGTGCTTTTCAAAATCCTATTAGTTGCCTATCTACTTGAATAGGTGCCTTTGGAAAAATGTTACCCCTAGTCCATTCCTTTGGCCAGTATAAGATTATCTCTATGGCATGAGAGGTAGGATTAAAATAACATTAATATAAAGAAAGAAAAGAAAGAAAGAAACTGTAAGGGCAAAAAAGTAATTAGTTAAAAAGAAAGTAGGCAAGGGCAAATAGAGAACAAAACCAGACAAAAAGTCAG